TTGAAACCACTGCTTGTAAATCGATTTATAAAACCATGGTTAATGAAAGGAGTCGATAGGAATAAATTTTCGGTTTCCTGGATGGCAAACAAAAATCCTGGGTGTTTAATATTCAGAGTTCAACAAATTTTTCGCTCCAAAAATTAGATGCTATATGGACATAAAAGGCCTAAAATTTAAAGTTCTTTTGATTCTAGACCATCGGTTCCCAACTTATTTTTATCACGGAACCCTTTTTTACCTCAATAAAACATGTTGGAACCTTAACAATTTTTAATGATTATAGATAAAATAGCAAATAGAAACACCAAAAACAACTTACTGAAAATGCAAAAAAAAACAAATTATAATGGAAAACAAATATTATTATTGATTGATTGATCAAACTGGTCATTAAAATATAAAGAGTTAAACTCTTTTCTTTCAATATTTTAAACGGCGATAGTGCTTGTGGCAGTCGTCCAGTACCGACCAAAAATAATTTTTAAAGAAAAAGTCTCAGTTTTCTTTCTTCTCAATTTAAAGAGAGAAATAGCAAAAAGTGAGAAAAAGAAAAAAGTAAAACGGACCAAAGCTGGCATGAAAATGGCAATAGAAGTTTTTGTAGATAGTTTCGACATATTCAGTTCCAAAAGCGTTAGTAGGCTTAAATCGAATGAGAGCAATCCAAGATGGCAAAAATATGAATATTATTCTGCAGATGGTTAGATTGCAAAGGACTTTCGGTGAAGAAAGGGTAAAACAGCTACTTTTTTATATGCAGATATAACATCAGGATTGAAAGTTCATTCAAGAAGACTGGGTACGATGCGTTGCATGTAAGGGTTCGGCACGTATCAAATATACTGATCAAGAAAATATTTTGTATTTTACTTGTGATAATTTTAGGCAGTGAAGTTCATTGCAAACTTTCGAAGATTTGTTCCCATATTTTCCTAATACAGTATTCACTTTTTCGAATAAATGTTATTATTATTGATTATATAGTGCAATAGCACACTATTAATCTATTGTCAAAGAATTTTTTACTTTTGTTTGCATGAATAAAAATCACTAAAACAATTTATATCACCATTAAAATATTTTAATAAACTAATTTTTCAGAAGAGTAAAAAGACAAAGGCAGATCAATACAAAAAAGCCTCAATCTATCGAAAGTGGGTCATCTTAAACACAATCAGGAGATAGTGTTTAAGGTAGAAGAAATACAAAACTGTATTAAAAAACTTAAAGAGAAATCAAAACCTGGTTCCGATTTGATACCTAATTATATAATTAAAAACTTTCCACAATAACTAATTGAATATTTAACTAGACAATTCAATGGTTTTTATAAGCTAGGTATTATATCAGAAAAATGGAACGAAGTAATATTTACAATGATATATAAACAAGGAGATAGAGCTATGCCTTCGAATTATCGCCCAATAGCATTATTATCAGGATTACGAAAAATATTTACTGCAATACTGGCTTCCAAATTTAGCAATTGGACAGATACCAATAATTATAGAAACGCCACTCAATATGCGTTTGTTGAAAATGGAAGCACTCAAGTTGCATTATTTATATTATGCGCATTAGTTCAGTTGCAACTTCTTAAAAAGAGACAAAAAGTATTCGCCTTGTTCTTGGATCTAGAAAAAGCTTACGACTCGGTTAGTATTAGGGTTTCTGAAACGGGATTCCGGGATCCCGGTTGTTTTTTTACCCCGGGAAATATCCCGGGAAATCCCGCAAATTTCTTAAAAATTCACTTTTTTTCTTATTTTGTGTTAAGGTTGAGGAGTTTTGCAAATAGAAAGCATAATTAACTCATTCACTGCCAGAATACATTTGTATTTATTAATTTTAAACCTACCTATTAGTTTTTTTAAATTTTTGCTCGTTATAGCATGTCACAAATGGTCAATAATCAATATATAGCTTATTTGTGGCATGACTATAAAAATTCTTTACTTGTCGGAACCTGTAATATCTGGAATAATTGTGCTTACGCTGTCTTGAGTTTTAACCATGCCCAGTAGCTTCAATAAATGCCTGACGCCAGATTGTGCAAATTGGGCAAGGATACAAACGAGTACAAAGTCTGCAAGTATGAAGTTTTTCTTCATAAACCTGATTATTAAAGCCAAATGAATTGCCGAATTATCGAGCTCTAAGCTTGATGCCGCTATTAAAGCAGCCAAGGTAGACAAATCAAGAATACTAGAGAGCGAAAGAAGTACTACAATCTCGAAAACGAACTCGAAATCTTCCAGGCTACAGGTGAAAAAACACATAATATCTGTCTTCTCTTAAATGCATTAAACACTATTCCAATCACATCAATTGAATCGGAAAGGGCATTCTCGGTGGCAAGACTTTTCATTACTAAAATAAGAATTAGAGTGAGTTATCGGAGTATTGACCATCTTTGCTTTTTAAAATCTTATAAAAGTTTGCAATATTTTGTATTATATTTTATTTAAAAAACGAAAATTACCTTCTAAATTAGAAGTTCATTTTTTTAATTTTTAACTCAATTCAAAAAATTTTTTTTGTTGTTGTTGTATGCAGTTTCCAGCAAACTTTAATTAATTTTTTTCTATTTGTGAAAATTTCTACGTTATTTAAAGGTAATTTTTATTATAGGCCTATAGACCTTACACAGCATTATTAATATGATTTTGGAGGTTACAGAACTTTAAAATTACTTTAAAAAATGGAAAATAATTATATCATTTGATTTCAAGATATTTTGTATACCTTAAAAATAATTAATTCTATCCCGGGATTTCCCGGGATCCCGGGAAACAGTTCACTTTTATCCCGGGATCCCGGGACAAGCAAAATACCGGGAAATGAGAAACCCTAGTTAGTATAATAGACTTACAAGTAAAGATGAAAAAATATAATGCATGTGATTGTTTAACAAAAATGATAGAATTACTATTTGGACAATACAAAATAATTATTAAACAAGATACTGTCCTGTGGCCGTCATTTGAAACAAGTAGAGGATTGTTGCAGAGGAATCCGTTGTCTCCACATTTACTTAACTTCTATATATTTGACATAAATAATTGTTTCAATAATAAGAATGATGGATTTAAAATTGATAATCAGGTAATACATTTAATTGCATATGCAAACGATATAGTTATAGTTGCATCTACAGCAGCAGCATTACGTAGAAAAATTCAGCTGGTTATGAAATATTTTGAAGAACTGAAGGTAAAAATTAATCCCAATAAATCAGAAATTATGATATTCAGAAACGGAACCAAGTTACCAAAAAAAAAAACATGTCATTTTACATGAACAGAGAAGAACTGAAGATAGTAAAAGAAATTAAATTTCTAGGCATTATATTTACCCCAAATTTGTTATTCGACAAACAATATAAAACTAATAAACAAGTCTAAAATAAAGTCTAATAAACAACTAGTAAAAATATCCAGTAAAGCAAAAATTAAAAATGTCCAAATACATTTTCGTCTTTTCAATACAATAATAAATTAATTCGATAGATTTTGCAACACTAATCTGGAGCATTACTAATTTCAATAAATTTGAAAAAATTCAAAGCAAATTTATACGTAGAATTTTCCTATTAGAAAATAACATTCCAGAAAGTGCCTTAAGATTGGAATTAAATAGATTCTAATTAAATGCTACATTGATAAAGAGATATATAAAATTTCTCATAAAAGTTAAAAACGCAAAGAATTTATCAACGAGGTTATTATACATACTATACCAAAAATCTATGGGAAGAGGAGTAAGTAGAAATTGGATAACGCAAATACTAAATATATATGGTTTTTCAATAGGATTGTTTATGGAACAAATGGAAACAAATGAACAACAAAATTAACTGCTAATACAAAGAGTATTGGAAATTTCCATTTCTCAAGATATGGAAGACATACAAAAAAGAACTAAACCCAATTGGTACAGAGTAATTTTAGATTATCCATTTAATAATAACTATATGTTTACGAATTTTGCATTTAACATAAAAAGATTTTTTATACAACTGAGATTAAATAAAAATTGGATAATTGTTAACAATAAATTTATCGAATTGTCACAATCCAGATGCCCGAGATATAAAAATACACTAAGTTCGATATATTCTGTGATTGTAAGGAAACAAATGAATTAATTCAAAAACTGATATGTTTATATTATCAGGTTGTTTTAATGAAAGAGCCATGTACGAAGTTTTTGATAAAGCAAAGATAGATAAAATCTATAAGTTATATAAATATTCGCAGGAATTTTTTTAAAAAAACGGATAATTCTAATTGCTGATAAAATAAAAGAAGTATAACGAGATATAAACTGTAAAAAAAAGGTACTAAACTTTAATATACAATGCAAAAAAGATAATATATTCTTTGTAGTGTTGAAACAATGAGATAATGTTTGAGGGAAAAATATATATAAATTGAAGTGTTTTTGTAATATATGTTCAAAAAATTGTATACAAATTGGAAACTATAAGATAAAAAATAAACATATAGAGAAATTAATTTTTGTTAATTAATAAATAATGGAATTAAATCAACCCTTTTGTAACAGGCGAAAGCCTTTTATGACGAATAAAGATTGAATTGAATTGAATTAATGTTAAGAAGTTGTTAATACATTCACTTAATTGTTGTTAAAAAAAGTTTAGGGAAATTTTACACTATACTTTATGAAGCACTCTTTGTGGTGATATTACTGTTGTAAAATCAGTTTTTCCGAGTCTTACATTTGTTACAGCCAAAAATAATATATGCTATTCTTATAGATGTAGAGTTATAAAATTAAAAATAACTGTCTTTATCAATATAAACCTTGAAAATTACCATCTGTTTTAATGAATATATATTTTCCGAAAGTATTTAAATTGATATAGCATCTGTTTAATCGTAATTAATGATTACCTGTCGCGCTTTGTACGAGTAAATAAGATTATTTGAAAGATAAAAAGCCATTATGCTGTCTATTCCTTCTTTCCTTTATAGGTATCAGGCTGAGAAAGGGTAGATAAAAAAAAATGAAATATTCTTGGATAATTTTAACATATATACTATTACTAGGAATTGAAGAATTACATGCATTTAAATTAAAGAAAAACTGTACACTACTTCCTAGGAGTGCAGGTAAGTAATTTTAGCAAAATCTAAATAAAATAAGTAATAAAAACGTATAAAATTTTAATATTGATCTCATTTAATACTACTATAAGATAAATTTAATACTACACTTTTATAATATGTTTATATAATTTAATATTGTTAATAATTACATTAAACCTTGAAATATTAAATTTAAACTAATATTCTTGTGTGTATCAATTATTGTTAATAACGAACTAATCACAAAATAAGAAAAACTTATTAAAATAGTATAAAATCAAAGGACTCAAAATGATTGGCATAGTAATAAAGAAAGTTTGATATACAAGAAGATTGTTCTGCAAAGAATTATTTAGAAAATATTCATTTAAAAAGTACATTATGACATCATTCTACTATATAGCATATGTACCCATCCCTATTTTTGTGCAGTGGATATGCAAGAAAGTCCTGTAGAAAAATGCTTGATAGGATCTACTTCAATGAAACCAAAAAATAGGCAATTTACAAAAGAGACACTAGCTTCTAACATAATTTATTATTAACATTATTTGTACGTAAATATAGTAAATACAAAGTAGCATAGGAAACATAAAATCGACATACATTATTCTCTGATGTACAGTACAGTACATACAGTACTGTAATTTAATTTTTTGCCTTGTTTATATAAGATGAAAAGCTTATATAAACAGGACCCAAAATTAAGTTACCACTTTACACTAATTTTTACCACTAAACAGTGACAAGCTCGAGTTCATGAGATGAAAACACCGGAATCCCAGAGCGGTAGGCTAGGGTTTCATTTTACTTATTTGTTCTGACTGAAGATTCCAGAAATCAGATAGATCAGTATATAGAGACTAAAATAAAAAGCTTTTAAAAAATAATATTTGAAGCATACAAAACTTATCGACGTCAGGCATAGTATGAGATTATCTTCCCGAAAAAAGTTGATAAATTGGGTATATTGTAAAGATGCAGTGAAATGTCTCGGAAGAAAACAAATTAAGTATTTTTATAGTTAGCAAATTTTCTTGATTTAAAGATAATAAAAATTTATAAAACACGGTTAAAAGAATACGAAGAAATAAGTACTCAATAATAAAAGTATACTTATGAAATTACGAAGTAAAGCCGTTTCATTATGATACAATTTTAATGTAATGATTGCATCCTTAAAATCTCAGATCGAGAATAGAATTTAAAAATGATGATTCAAACAAAGAAATGTTATAATATATCGCATTTTTAAAATTAATACGTACTAATTAACTATTTCCCCAGGTAAAGACGCTTCTAATCAGAACTTAAGACATTACAAAAATAGTTAATTTAAAAGCAGAAAATTCTTACGTACTTTGACTTAAATACTAAAAGCATTCTATGAACTCGAGCCATTGCATACCATAGCATTGCACATTATACCGTAGAAATACGTTTAATTTCTATGGTATCAGTAATAAGGAGGAAGGAAGATGGTCCGATAAACCGTATTTGATATCAAAAATGTTTTTAAAAACAATGTTTCAAAGTTTTGACAAACAAATTTTAGTTTCTTTGTCTGTTAATTGGATTACAAGGCATGTGCCCTTGTAGTCCTCGTGGATCCACTCGGAACAAGCATTAACCTTTCATTCAATCTTCAAAGAACTGATGAAACTGAATTAAAAGTAAAAATTGCTCAAAAGTAAAATTAATAATTACGGATAGCTCAATAGTAGAAAAACTTTGTAATTTCTGGAATAAGTATTCTCTCAAGTCGATTTCGGTTGCTTGATTTTTCAGATAATCGACGCTCCACTTTACTTTGACATTCTGTGAAATACTATATGATTTCTATCAAAGAAATTATGAAATGTTTCCTCTGACTATTAACAGAATTTACATTTTTATATTATGTGCAATTGTGAATTTTAGTCACCTTATAGTATTTTGATTAAAATAAATTAAAGAGGATACATTGATTTGATTTGTGAGGAGATATTTTATATACAATCGGAAACGTTTATCCGATTAAATTGTGTATAAATTAAATATTAACATTCAAAAGGTAAACTTTTAAGATTTGTTTTTGAATAATTTATTTTGCTTAATTCTTATTTCAGCGAAGAAAGAAATATGTATGAGAGATTTGGGTTGCTTTCAGATCACGTCTGATTTCGTCAATGACAAGAAAAGACCTTTCAATGTTTTGCCTAAAGATAGACGTATTATCAATACTCAGTTTTTACTATTTACCAGGAATAACCCTAATAAAAGTTATGATTTAGTAAGTGATGACGAAAAATCTTTAAAAAATGCACCCTTGGATACCTCTGTAACTACTATATTCATCGTTCATGGATTTTTGGATATGCAATATTTTGTTTCGTGGATGAATGTAAGTTTATTATCTTAATAAAACGTTTACGATTTGCTTACACGCTTGATATTTGTTTTATTCCAGATTTTGAAAGACGAAATTTTGAAAAATAGTAATTACAATGTAATTATTGTGGACTGGAGTGGTGGAAATCAGCTTCCTTATACTCAAGCTACTGCCAATACACGAGTCGTAGGTGCCGAAATAGCATTTTTAATTGGAAAAATGAAAGTAAGAAAGAGAAATTAAGCCTTTAAAACCATGCTATAATTATATTAGTGTATTATTCTTATTCTTATTTTATTTTTTAGAGAGTAGTTGGGTTGCATCCCCAATCTTGTCACATAGTTGGACATAGTTTAGGTGCCCACATTGCTGGATATGCTGGCGAAAGATTGGAACATTTAGGACGAATAACTGGTATGAAACTTCTTTCATCGGCAATACAATGAAATTTTAAAAATTGAATAGTTATATAAATTACATAAGATACCAAACTAATTAGCTCTAGATCCTGCTGCTCCATATTTTGAAGGAATGCCAACTTCTGTAAGGATTGATCCTTCTGATGCGAAATTTGTAGATGCAATTCATACAGACTTGAATAGCTTTGTTATATCAGGTAAGTCTGTATTTTTCTTATTACCAATCTGGAATAACGATTGATTTATTTAAAATATACGATAATAGCTTTATATTAAAATATACGAATGGCATTCTTTGTCCAAAGTAAGGATACGTGATAACCAATTTTATTTATTAAGAACAATAGATTTAGAATTAGAAGAGAATGTTTATGTAATGGTTTGGATTTTCTATTATGTTTAATGTAATAATTGTCAAAATTTAGGTTTAGGAATGAGCGATCCTGTCGGGCATGTCGATTTCTATCCTAATAATGGAAGAGATCAGCCAGGATGTAAAACAAGTCATCGATTAATATCAATAATTACTGATGGTTTCATCGAAGGTGAGTTATAGATGTTTCTTTAAGAATTACTTAATAACATCTGCCTAACAACACATTATTTAAAATTCATTTTTCAGGTATAAGAAAGGCTGTAAGTTGCAGTCATCAACGAGCAGTAGATTTCTTCACCGCATCTATTAACCAGCGTGACTGTTTATTCACTGCATTTCCATGTTCAAATTGGACTGATTTTACGGAAGGAAAATGTTCAACTTGTGGACCGTATGGAAGAGATTGTGCTGTAATGGGTTTTCTAGCAGAAGAACATAAACCTGCCAATCTTCTAAATACCACGTTCTTTCTTAAAACTCAAGATCACGAACCTTTCTGTGGTAACTAGTTTGTATTTGTTAGATTAATAAAATAATAAAAAACATAAAATTTATTTCTCTAACCTTTTCCCATTAATACTAATTTATTTCTCTTTGTGTTTTAGTATACCATTATCAAGTTGATATTTATCTGCAAGATGGCGAAGATAAGGAACTAGAAGGAAAAATTAAACTGATTTTAGGGCATGATTTTGGAGAAGAAGTTACTGTTAATTTCAATGAAAAGTAAGTAACAAATATGATGATTAAATAACCAAATAATTTAATTTATCTTATATTTTATTAAAAACTAATAGAAGTTTGAAAAATAGATATTAGAAGAATCGACGATTACAGTTAATAAATAAGATCATGAATAATATAAAAAATTTTAATATTTAAATACTATATGCGCAGGGCCGTCTAGAGGGAAAGAACGTCGAGGATTTTTCCCCAAGCCCAGAGAAACTTAGGGGCCCATAGTTGTCCCTACCCCTATAAAATTAATTTTATTTTTACTAACAAAAAATAAAATCTTTAAAATTGCTTTTTATTAATAAAGTAAGATTTTACGTGTTTTATTTCAAAAAGAGATGGCTAAAGGGCCCCACACGGGTTGTGACAGCCCTGTGTAGGGGAGAGTTGACATAATTGTACCACTTAGGAAATATAAGATAAAAGATTATATTTGATACTAATTAGTACACAGGTTAATATTGTAAATTATAGTTTGATGTTTAAGACATCTATTATTATATATTTAACCTGTTTCCAAGGTAATATTGATTAATTACAAGCTTTTTTTTTATAATATAATGTGAGTTATTACAGTAATCAGTTTCAAACTTGTAGCTCCTTTAAAATCTGGGTAAAAATAATAAAAAATACAGTTAAGAAAATGAATAATTTCTTAATACATATTTCATCAAGAAACAAATAAAATATCAAATATATAATAACAATGATTAAATAATGTTTATTTTTATGTTAACATACTTCATCAATAATAACCTAACATACTAGGTATACTAATAATTATTAAGCAACATATTTCTTCATTTTATAAGTTACTGTTGAGACAATAAAATATTTTGTTTTATTAGCACTCCTTGTTATGAACTCATAATGCACTGGTCATGTTTTCTATGCTTTCTTAATTGTAGAGAAAGCAAAAACAGTCAGATGATGTTATGTAATTGTTTAAATAATTAAAATTTATTTTAAGCTTTCATAAAATGATGCATTATTACTGTCATGCATCTGCATTTGCATCATGCGGATTCTAATGAAAATGGATGTGTCCCATAACTTATATGCAGTATGCTCGAAGGCGTTAAACGAGAGTTCTGAAATTGTACGATTTAATAAATCTTGTAGTGGTATGATTTAGCAAAAATATTCATTTAATCTTTTTAATAATTGTAATATGTGGATAAAATGAATGTACTGTACTGTACAGTACAATATCCTACAGTAAACCTATTTCTATTATTAAAAATAAAAAAAAACATAAAAATGCAGAATAAAATCTCGTTATTTGATTATTATAAGTTATATAAATTAGTCAGAAAGCTACATAGCTATAACTATAACATTTAATTCAGCAACGAGTTGCTTGCTTTTTCCGGCGACATTCGGTGGCGTCATCTCTTATCATATTTTATTTAAAAACTTTTCATATTTTTACTATTATAAAATAGAAAAAAAGCTTAAATTTATATTAATATGGAATGGGTTTTATATTAATAGGGAATGGGTTTTATAAAAAAAAATTGTAAATGGTAATAACAAGTAAAATCGTCATTAAGTCCTACCCTACTGGGTATACACGTTTATCTCCCCATCTCCTGGACTTTTAACTACCAAAATGTAATAGCCTCAATCCTCCTAATAAACAAACCTCTGTGCAAAATTTCAGAAATTTTCAACAAAAAACGTAAAGCAGGAGTTATTAAGCTTCAAAGAGGGTGAACAAAATCGTGCCCTCCACACACAAACTAACATCCATACATATAAAAAATCCTCCTTTTTTTGAATTTTTTTCTACGTTTTAAGGTGCCCTGAGTCTAAAAATGTAAAAATTGGGAAAGTCATTTGTTTTGAACGATCGCCATACTTTCCCTCTGTTATAATATAACGGCTGCGAAAATAAAAATGTTTGTAACGCGCACAAAACAAAATGTCATCTATCGAATTTATGTCTATATAGGCCTGTAGTAGTTATACATTTGCTACTGATAGTTTATGTACTGTACAATACATAAACAATATAACAAATAGCGGATCCAGAAATTCTTAGAGGGAGATACAGAAAGGAAACAATATGTCTTACAAAAGTTTTTACTGCATGAGATACTCACATTTACTCGGAAAAACTGGGTGGAAGAAAACTGCCAGAAAGGTGGGCACTACGTCCAGCGCACCCCCTAAATTTGCGCTAGTGATAACATAGAAATTGAAGACGTAGACTATGTTTTATATGAAGGTTTCGAAAATTATGAATAACAGATTTAATTTTTTAACTTTAAAAAATGTATGCCTGATAAGTATGAATTTTTTTTTTACTTTTTTCTTGAAATCTTTTGCATTTATTTTAATTAACTTAAGCTGAAGTTTTGTTTTGTATAATTATGAATAGAAATAATAATGGATAGAAAGAATAGAAGGGGTATAATATGAACAATGTTAAGGGCAAAACCCCACATTATAAATAGAAATGTTAATTGTATAAAATATTAAAATACAATAGTTAAGTGTAAAACCCCACATTATAAATAGAAATGCTAATTGTGTAAAATATTTTAGAAAGTTAAGTGTAAAATCCCACATTAAGTGGATTAATTTGAAAAAATAAAATAATTGAAATTTATTGTGTAGTGCATAAGTTAATTCAATAATTAAGTATTTTAAATACATTTTTAGATAAATTATATTCTAAATAAAATGTTTGTTTGATGTGATTATTATCATTGATTTAATAATAGATACATACGGCTGGTACCTGGAACGACCATTACTTCTCTGATAATATCACCTTATGAATTACATCTTCCGGAAACAATCACTTTCTATTGGGTATCATCAGCATTTGCTTTCTGGAATACCCATACTTTGGGAGTAGACAAAGTTAAAATTACACCAATGGATTTAATGGATCAAATGTAAGTTTTTTATGTTAGTAAATATAATAGACCTAAAGCGAATTGTTCGGGTTTTCTAGTCTAATCATTCATTTTACCTATAAACTATTATTCTAAAGTAATTTCTATGATAAAACTTCTCGGTAAAAACACGTAAACAGTTTCCTGAAGTCTATTTTTTAATTTATATAAACTATTAATAATTAATTTTGACAATTATGAAAACAGTACAAAAGTTAAATTCTTATTATTTCCCCTTCTATAGAGTAAAAAATGAACACAAAATTGAGTTAAGAGTTATACTTAATATTTCTGCAATTCATTTTATTAGATCATTTTATTAATAATCAAATAATTGATTGTCTATTCATTTCACAAACGACTAAAATACATTGACTCACAACAGATTCTTTCTTAGACTACAGCTGGAATCCGGAGTTTAAATCTTACCTGCGGATAAAAGTAGTAAAAATAGAGAACCAAATTCTCATAGTTTTTTACAATTTGTAAAATTTTTTATCATTATGTAGACGTGATTGTTATAGTGGTTCCGACCCAAGTTACCGATAAAAATAATTAAAAATCCAGACTTGGACAGCTGCTTCTGAGAAAAGTGTTTTGATGTAGAATAAGGCAATTAAGGAAAATTTCCCGGAAAGACTTTCTACAACTATAATTAAGTAACACGTGAAAAAACCCGGAAAATACACGTGACCACTGACCAGACTATTGGTGAGGCGCGAACCCGCAAACTACCAGTGTTTAGTGGTTTTATCCACTGAGCTATTGGTAGGCTATAAGGAATAGATCGGTTGTGAGTTGGTGCATTAATATTATTTATGGAACAATTTCGTCAATAAAAAAAAGAAAAAAAAAAATGTGAAGTTAATTAATTTTTAACGTTTACTGAATTTTAGAATTAAAGAGTGATGAAGCTAATGTTTACAAATTTTAGATTTATTTTTGTAATCTTAATAAGATTTTGTAAAGTTTTTTTACAAACAATGTAGTGTTTGTTATGAAACTAATTATATCTATTACTATTACAATAAATGATATTTAATTAGCAGAATGTTTAAACAAATAGTAAATAATTAATTATTGCAATAGTAATAAGTATATTTCTTTATTGTAACATTTATTTTTTAATATTAAACATTAATAATTCAATAATATGTGATGCTAATTTTATAATTTTTTTTCTATTCTACAGCACTCAAGATTCTCTGATTAAGATCTACTATCCAAAAAGTAATACTTTGAACGAAATGAAGAATATCGAAATGTATCTGGAAGATTAATGATCATTATTGTTATTGTAAATTAGTTTTATCAATTTACAATATAAATTTCTATTTAATTATATTGTTTGCTTTTCTTTTCTTTTTCCAACTTATTTTGACGTTAAAGAATAAATTAAAAAACTATCTTATAAATAACAAATAATACATAGTAATTTTTCTGAGAAATGAGAAATGTGGATAAATATTTATTTAAAAATAAAATTAAAAATTTTTCGAATTTTATTTAATATAAAATTGCATTTCAAATGATAAAACAATAATTGATTTGCTCAAAAATTTTTATTGGAATTTTTAGCAGTAGAAAATTGAATTTTACAGTACAATAATACTTTATTTCTATTATTAGACTACCAATTAATTCGATTATTCAATACTTAATAATTTAATCTATTTTAAATATAATTATAAATTTCAGAAATAATAAAATCAAATCAAATGTGAAAATTTTATAGCAAAACACTTAAAGAATATTTTAACATTAGATTATTCATTTATTTGTGATTAGTTTAGCCAAATAAGGTCTTATTAACCTGCGCCTATTTAAAGTCTATTTGGCTATATTGCAGCGTTAAAAAAATAAATAAATTGGTAAATATTACGATAAGAAATGAAAATAAAAAGTGAACAAATTAATGATACAAAAAATACAAATAGGCTATATTCATTGTGTGTGAGTATATTATGCAAAATACTGTTAGTTACATGGGAATTATTCAACCTATTTCTATTAGCAGTTTTGGCAATGAAAATAATTGTACAATATGTACAGTACTACCCCACATGCATAACAGTTTTCTAGATAAAACAATTTTCTAGCACCAATTACGTCATTACGACATCGAAGTGTATCCAGTGAAACGAGAATAATTTTTACGACATACTTTACTAAAATAAATGAAAATATACCTAAAAATTTTAGGGTGCAGTGAGCCGCATAAAATTATTAAGTCGGCCGCGGGTTGGACATCCCTGTAATAGACTATACCAGGTCTGGCCAACTTATAATGGGATATGATCGACTTTCATAATGCACCAATGAACTACTTCACATCTCTGTTCTACTATAAAAGCTTAATAATTTATCCTAATAAAATTATTCTGCAAAACATAGATATATATATTTATTTAATCGACAATAATTAATGTTCCAGATTATCTCTTTATTGTAAATACACAAAAACAAATTAAACCACATCATTTATTTTATATCATGGAAAAAAAATTTTTCCCATCGCACAAATCATAAATTTTGCTCTTCTTTGACTCGCTCATTTTGCAATTAACTGAATTCCTTAGGGCTCAACAAAATAATTACTAAATTAACATAATCTAGGAATGATCATCGACACAGTGAGTACTTATTATTTACCACACTATCTCATGAAACGTTACCAATTCATTACGAACAGTTAAAAGATATTTCCGTTAAAAGACATCTCCAGACTATGTCTGAGTACATTTTTGTTAAGTGCTGTCTTTCGAGAAAGAAGATTGAGATTTTTCCCAGAACCCGTAAAAAACTACGGATTCCGTAGTGGTTACTATCCATATAAATTAGTGTTATTTTTATTATAAAAAAAATATTTACTACTGCTTATTCACAATACTAATTTTTTGTTTGCTTTATAAAAATCACCTTTTTTTTCTATTGATCTACTACCCAGTAAATTTAAATAATAAAAAAATATTATTTAAATTTACGAGTGAGTTAAAAGATTTTGTAATTAACAAACATATTTATACAGATTACATAATGCATTTATCATTTTTACAAGTAAACAGAAAAGTCTAGAAGAACAAAGATAACAATTACATAAAAATAACAATACATTGCATTATACGTTAAATACAATATAAATTAAAACAAAAACGTATAAAAGTTCGAATATCAAAACACACCTTATGTTGCCGAGATAATTTTATTGAAAACTAACGTTTTCGGCCTATTCCATAAGCTATCCTCAGGTTAAACCAGAGAATTGGCAACATAAGGTGTGTTTTGATAATCTATCAATAATTATTTGCTGAGTATGATCTGTTAAATGTATAAAAGTTCTTCGAAGAAAAAGGCTTTTCTTTAATTTGTTTTGTTAACCGAAACATTTCCTAAGTTGGAAATAATAGTTTATAACTTATAACTAGTATTTCGTAAGTCTTAATCATATTTATATTTATATACATTTTACCAATATTTACAAATAAATAAATAAATAATATCCGCTAAATCGTATGCTTGTTAAGCGTGCAAAAATTTTTAAGTTTCCATCGCCCAGATGACTATCGCCCATTGTGAATCGTCCACTTGGCCGTCGCCCAGTTGTCGTGTACCCAATCTTAGTTCCTGGCCTTCCTATATGATTAAATGTACTCAAGTGGTAATTTCGCTAAATTGCATAATTGTCAAAAAATAGGTTGTTATCATGCCTATTACCTAAAAAAATATTTAAACAATTAAATTAGGTTTATGTTTAAAAATTATATTTAAAGATTATACATACATTTACAATTGTCCCTTTGGTAATGACGAATAAATCGAGGCAAGTAATTCCAATAGTGGGACCACTTAATCTTTCTAGCATTAATGCAATCTAATATGAATATTAAGTATTATTAAATACGAAATCTATACAGTATTCTAATTATTTATTATTACACTCTTTGATCAAAAAAATTTGAAGCATCCCGAAGAAAGTGTTTTATCATTATAAAATTTTGTATGTCTAAATGGATAAGGAGATTAAGAATTGATAACAACATCAAAGCAAACAAATTGCATTTTCAGAAAGAATCATACAAATGAATCATACAAAATCAGTATGTAATAAAGCCATTCTGGCAGCAATACAAACAGAAATATGGCTTGGTGTGGAGTCAAACTAAGTTTAGATGTTATTCTGGGCAGATTTTGCTAAGCCTGATGCAACTGCTTCTCGATTCCGCGTTGGCTTCAACTGCAGCCCAAGTATATAAAACCTAGTCGAAGGAGGACTCCGTAAGAGATATAGGGGATTCTTGCCTCTGCAAGACGTATTGCAATGGTGCGGGATAATAAAGGATTTTGTAAAGACTATACATCTCGCTCAATGATGGAAATCAAAGCTACTGGATCATGTTGGACTTGTTATCCTGCAATTTCCTCTAATAGTATCCTTCCTGGACCTGGCTGAGGCATTACGATGTTCTTGGGTACCGTCTTACACTCACTGCTTCCGACTTATTGTTACTGTTGTATCTATGCTCTAAATGACGGATTATTTTTCGAAACGACTAGCTAATTTTTCACAGCCCAACGATACTACGTCTTTCGAAGTCCTTTAATTGATGGTGAGGTGCTCAGGTATGTGGCATTATCACTGGCAATTGCAATCAACTGACATAAATAAGCACAGTCAGATTTCATAGCGAATGTTTGATCAGTGTTTTACGCAGATCGTGCATTGGAAAATTCTAGTAAAACTTGCCAATGTCTGGTCATCTAGGTGAAACTTTCTATCATTGACTACTATTACTAGACTACTATTTGTATACTGAATTTCAAGGTTCTAAGAATACTCTGAGAGTGCTTCGATTTTTATGTCAAAAAGTGTATAAAGCTATAAAAATTAATTAATTTCATGTATTTACCTTTGCTTGCTGTTCGTCATTTTCAAGTTTACTGGATAAGTGAGACAAGAAATCATAACATCCGTGAGCCTATTCAAATCAAAAGAATATTGTAATCATATTATTAAATTATTTTATTATGCATCTTTTCTCGATTTACAGATAAATTTTGACTTTCTCAAAATGATAATGTAAATTTAAACAGAGTAAATCTAGGTTAACAACTAGAGTTTATAGTTAAAATATATATCTTATGCTTTTTTGTGTGTGTTTTATCTTAATATTTAATCTAAGTATCCTAACTATGTATTTTTTAATGTGTTAATTAAATTTTCCGTCTTCCTGAAAAAGTACTAAATCAGATGCATAGTTATAAGGTATTTTCGTTTTTTCATTCAATAATCTGACATATAGGCTACTGTTACATGGCTACTGTTACCAGTGCCGGATTGATATGAAAAAGTGAGTGGAAAAGTAGAAAGTGACAAAACAGTGTTCTTTATTAAAATATTCAAGTAAATATATTTATTTAGCTTATCATGCAGAACACCGATTAATTAATTAATTATGAAGATTTGTTATGTAAAAGAATATGCATTTCGGGCTGTCACACCATCTTAGTCATTAATTATACATATCTGGTAAAATGACAGAATAAAGTATGATAAGGTTTATAAATATTTAATAACTTATACGCACGGAAAGCTTACAAAAATAAAATTACTTAAAATGATATATTTATTGGTGACAATTGGGGTAAAAATCTACTAAAATACAATGTGTAAAGAACGTTGCTTTACGTATCAGATAAACTGACAGTCAGACGGTAGAGTGAATTTTAAAAAACCTGGGGAGGAAAAAAAAATCTATTTTACAATGGTCAGAGTAATCCATCTTAGACTTCTTATTTTTGAAATAATATTTAAGCATTTTAAGGTTATATTTATTATTTAATACTGATTTTTTTATTTTAGTTTTAGTCTACTAGTTTTATCTCCTTTATAAATAATATTTTACTCCAGTTGTCACCAATAAATATATTATTTTAGGTAATTTTATTTTTGTAAGTTTTACGTATGTATGAGGTATTAAATAGTTGTAAACCATACCATAATTTATTTTGTCATTCTACCAGATACATATAAATAAGGACTGAAGAGAGTCGAGTAGTCCGAAGTGCGTATTCTGTTTTACATAATAAAGAATTCATAATCAATAAACTGGTGTTCCTGTATGATAAGTTCTCTACAGCAATTCTACAGCTACAATTCGCTTTACTATTTTTCGCTTTTACCACTTTTCCACTGAAACCCTCATATTTTATGCGATCCTAAGCTAGAAATAAATACGAGTCTCTACTTTTCAAAAGAAACTTACCTACAATATGCACTATTAATAGCAGTTTGCAATAAAGTAATTTTCAACGGTATTTTGTTACTTTATTGTATTTATAAAAAGGACAATAAATTAACAAAAATTATTTATTAAAGGCATCAGCCTATCACTCTGGAATGACAGGAATCGAATCTGAGTTGTCTAATAACACTAGCAATTGTTAATGGACAGTCTCGAATACAGTATGTGCTTGTTCCTACTCTGCATGAGTTACGAAAAATACCTCTTGATGGAAGGACAAGTGGAAGGAGTCATTTTTATTACTGTTCTTAAATAGATTATACCTTAATATTTTAATTTTTTATGTAATTTGTATCTGTAACTTAATTCTTTGAGTTTTAAATTTTTACAAAAACCTTCCCTATGATTAAACTATAAAGATATTAAAGTTATTAAAAAAGAATTAGCCTGTAAGTGAATTCGTCTTTATCTAAATAATTATAATATAAATAAAGTATTTATACGCACATCCGTAGTCGCGACAGTGTACAGTATTAAAAATATTTTCGAGTTCTCTTTAATGGCATTCAACCATTTAATGTTAAGCATAATACTAATATAATGGGTAATAAATACGTTCTATATAGCAATAATTCGTAATTTTATTCGTATTTAACTATAACTCAGGCTCACATACGCCTAAAAGGCAACAAAACTAACTTTCTCCGGAGTTACTGTGTCTTAGAAACTAGTCCCTATTTAACTGTTAGACACGTGAAGAAAAATCCCAAAAAATTTCACGTGGTCAGCTCGTTTTTTCAAGCGCCACCCGCGACCAACTCCAGTGATCAATGGTTTTATCTACTTAACTGATTGTATAAGCTTATTATTGTGTATTATACAATTATAGACGTAATTCTAGCCTTTAAAACCCTATTATTCTATACCCTATTATTACCTTTATTTTTATATTTGATTTAAGATTAATATCCTAGAACGGAAATCTATATATAACTCTTAATATCGTAAGTTGCGGACTAACTGTATTTTTTAATAGGTGCACTAACGTAGGTAGGAGAGGGCGGTCCGATCCGTGTGGTATTTTTGGTAGATAGTAGAAGGATACAAGACCACAGATACAATTTTATTTTTCTACAAAAACACTGCTTATTATTAGAAATTTCCAACAATCGTAAGGACTCAATATATAACCGGCCAAAACACTAATTTTCTATCTTAATTTGTCTTTACCGGTTATATATTGAGATCAAAGAAACGAAACAGAAGCAAAGTATAATATGTAAAATTTAAGGATTAATATAAGGACTGTTCCCTTGAAGATGACTTTCTTAATCGTACCTATTTAAGCAATTTGTTATGCTTTGGTGTAACATTGGTAACGGTGTCCTGATTTTTTCACGGATTTTTTCCTATGGTACGTTTGATGTGTGTTATGTTGTGTTATTCGTGGAGACAGCCAACTGAAAGATTGCCCGGAGGCACGAACCCAAGCTACACCACTGTAAAAGTGTAATCGTTTTAATAATTTATATTTAAAATAGTAAACATAACTTACGGAAGTTGGTATTCTTGATGCATCCACACATAAAATCAGATAATGAATAAAATCATCAATAGCAAATGTCAGCAGAGCTTTTCTGGCTTCTTCTTCAAGTTCTTGACTGTGAAACATGTATATATAAAGACTACCACACATTTCCGGCAATAACGTAATGAAATTTATAAACAAAAATCCTCTGAAAAGGTCATCAGCCTCCAGCACTACATCGCACAATTTCTGATGAAGATTGTGAATATAATAAAGATGTTCCATTGTTACTGTTCCATCTGCCATTTTCAAAATTAATTCTGTTAGTTTGTTAAATCGATCGGATATCATTCTGCAAATAAGACCGAAGTACACAGTAGTAGACAAGAAAACTGCCGTCGAATATACAGCCATAATGGTGACATTAAATATTGTATAAATGAGCATTACAAATTCTTCATTACTGCGCTCAAAAATAAATTTAAGTAAGAATCTCATATTCAATTCTCCTGTAAAATATCGAATCATTACTAATGTAGAGCTAATACACGCCAAGGGAAAAAAGATATTAATGGCTCTATTCTGGAAAGTGACATAGGATTTATCAGGTTTTGGTGTTATATTCTGTGTCATCAATTGGTTAGTTTCCATCCAAAGATCGTTAATAACATCCAAATCAAAATTATTAAATTTTTTATTGAAAATAATAATTGTTAGAGAGATCCGCAGTAATAACAAGCTATCAATTATCAAAAGAGAACTGTGCTTACCATGTGATGTTATAAAGGTCAGTAAGAACTTCTTGACCGACTCTTCAAATGCCTGTATCGTATGTGGTATAATTGAACCGAAAACGGGAAAAGAAAACTGTATTGCTATAAAACTTGCGAAAAATACAGTTAGAAAATATATACAGACAATAAATCTATAAATATTATGAAATGATATTCTATTGGATCTTGAACATGGAGAATCTCTTAATCCAAATCGATATAATAATAGCGAAAGTGGCAAAGTTAGACATTTTAAACATTTGTATTCTAAATGCGGCTTACATTTGAATCTACAAAACTCCATTTTTCTGAATGTATCAACTGCGTGGAAACATGTGAATTAAAAAAATCGATATATTCTTCTCTTTATGATTATCGATTATCGATTAATTGTTATTAATGATACGTTTACTAATAACAGTTAATATTTTCATCTTTAGAAGAAACTTTTTCATCCTATTTTCGTGGAAATTTATATTATAAAAGTTGAGTATGCTTTTAAACTAAATAAGTCAAAAGATTTTTATTCAATTTTATAAATTCGTCTATACTAAATTGCTATATCTAGAACAGAGATGAAACCTATGGCCTTGATGTTGCATGCAATCTTTCCTGACCTTCAATGCTGCTTGATAAAGTATAAAACAGTATATTTATAGAAGTAGATACAGCTGATGGCCGAGATGATTATGGAGTCTACTGGAGTCTACTGCTATGGAAATCTAAATTGGAGCAAACTGCTCAAGTTTTTAGGGGTTGTGTAATTCTGATATATTTTCATAATTACACCACCTCTATTATAGACCTGATCGAACCATGATACACACAATAAAAGGGCCTCATAAGATGACCAGACATCCGCGATTTCCTGGAACTGACCCCAGTTTTGTCTGTTTTTAATATTTTATTAACACGTCAATAAAATAATAATAATCTCTCGCCATACGTCGGAGTATCTTTTGGCGTTTCTATAAACCTATTTCCTCAAAAAACGTTATTCGCTCTATTTCTTTGCAAACTTCCAATCAGTTGTCAACTATGGTTTGCCGATTTGGGCCACGGCGGCCCCCACTATTTTAAACAAAATTTCCAAGAAACTCGATAAAATATATCTATTTTTAAATAGATTTTGTAACTTTCCCAACACTCAATCTCCGAATGTTGCCAGGGCTAGACTGGGTCTTCCTGATTTTAAAGAAAGGATTAAATATTTTGATCGGTTTTTATACTTCAAATATTTTAAAGGTTTTATACAGTCAAATTATACTCCACTTAAAAATACCACCAACGAAATTTACGATATTCTTCTTATATTTACTCGCCATTTTTATTGATTAGCGATCTTACAGCGATCTTATTTTTTCCGTATTTCGCAAAGTATGCTTAACTTCCGAACTGTCTCGGCCATCCAGCCGGTTAGGCATTATTTACATCGAATTGCTCTCTGATTTTGGTTATTTGAATCGCAATTAATGGCAAAAATGATCAAAAGTAAATTGAAAACTACATCACAAACTGTTTAATTAAAAATTTTATTTCATTTCATGATAATATTTAACAATCCAGAATGAATGTTGCTGCTTTACCCGATTCTATATCCTTCTCTTTACCAAAACAATATTTACCGATTTTCTTACTACGTTCTCTGTAAAATTTAAAATAAATTAATTAATTTATATTGAATTAGTAAATTTTAATTAATAAAATTTCGAATTTTTCACATAGGTTAATAATATTATACTCACTTCATATCAACGTAATTTAGAGGAATCACCTTAATATATTCTACATATAATTTTGGTTTTCGTAGAATTCCCCATGTTAATGGATTTTTTGGATCTCTGTGATGTTTCCAAGAGAATGTTACTGACTTAATATCTCCTAAAATATTCGATGTGGTAAATAAATATTTGTAAGTACTACCGTGATAAAGAGCTTCGTTTCTGTAATAAATAAATGAATTAAATTTGATAAATAAATTTATTAATTTCATGTGATTTGTGACATATATAGGGGAGATCGGGGCAAGATCGGCATGTTAAGCTTTACTTAAATTTTGTGTAATAAATACTGCTGTAAACTAAAAAAAAAGCTTTGCATATTGTCTATTGGAATGTTACCTTACTATAGAACTGGTTAAAATCAGTTTGGAAATAAAAATAATTAAAATAATTACAACTTTACAAGAAGAGAGAAATTGACGAAGTTGCCCCGGGTATAGGGGCAAGATCGGCAACTTCTCTCTTTTTGTAAAGTTGTAATTATTTTAATTATTTTTATTAAAGTTGCCCCTGGTATAGGGGCAACAGTAATGGGGCAAGATAGGCACGTATATAAAATTATGTTATTAACAATGTATAAGTTGGAATTCACTATTAAAACAAAGAAATACAAATCCAACACCCATTTAATATTATTACAACGAAATGCAAGTTCAAAGACATATATACATGAATAACAAATGCAAACATGTTTTCATTTATCATCTGTTTGATTTTTATCCTTTGCTTCTAATGTGGCTTTATGTTGCCGATCTTACCCCGCTAGTCATGATTTCGAAACATTAAGTACAACCCTGAGAACAGAATGCCAAGCCACGATCTGGCCACGTGAATAAGTTGAAGTTACATCCTTCTAACAGGAAAAGTAACTTTCGTTATCATGGAATTATAACAAAACCTGCCAATTCAATATAAATGGAAAAAAAATATTATATGGAATTGAACGAAAATGAAAATTTGCTTGATAATTCAACTACACTTGTTGGAGAACAATAAAAACACTACACTCAACAAGCCACCAATAAAACTCAACTGCCTAACCTATAACCAAAGTCTCCTTTTAATTTGTTTTTTAAAAAAAGCGCTTGACAAACTTGCCCCGCATGCCGAAGTTGCCCCGATCTCCCCTAATATCATACCGCTTTACTTTACATTAAATAAATATTTAAATATTTTAAAATCAAATTTACTTACTCTTTACTTAACGGAGCTTCAACTTCTTCCAAAGCGCCATTCAATGATACGGTCAATTTTCCCTCTTGATTTTTACTCTTCTTTGCATTATACAATTTCACTTGAATGGCGTAATGATACACTATAAAAATAATACCAGTAAGTTTCCATTTACATTGAATTATATTAAATGATATGGCCTAAGCCCACCAGTTGCCCAGTGGATAAAACTACTGAACACTGGCAGTTGGTCACGATTTCGGTCCTCATCAACGGAATGGCAGCATGAATATTTCCGGATTTTGTTCACGTATGTTGATTTTGTTTTGTATCTAAATAGAAGGCAGTCTTTCATAGAAAGTCCTCCCGAGGACACTCCTTTGGCAGAGTTGCCCAAGTGTTGTGTTCTCAATACGTAAACAGAATACTCAAAAATGAAAAATCTTTAATAATCAGAAAGCCACGTCTCATTTCAGGGGATATCATAAGGGTTGCATGTTATATTGCAGATTGTCAGAGCCATCGAGAGCTTGTATTAGGACTTGGGAGTAAATGGGTCTTTTTGCCTCTTCGCGAGTCCCTTTAGCTATCTTTTTTCGAACAAATAAAACATGTAAAATGTTTATTTTATTAATGAAATGTTGTCTTAAAGATTTTATTTTATGTTAATAAAAATAACATTAATTTTATAGAGGTAGTAACCATACAGGTTCCTAAGTTTTCGCAGAGCTGGGGAAAAATCCCCAGCTTACTCTCCTTCTCGATGATCCTGCAAGTTGCATAAGTGTATGCATTCAATATATACGTACCAAAAATATGTATTAATTGTTTTTTGATAGATAGTCTGTCTTTACTGAAAACACGCTTACAATTCAAAATTCGTGACAGCAAAATTAAAATTTGTACCATTTATATTGTTATTAAATCACACTAGAAGCCACAAAAGCCACAAGATTCCATCTATGGTATAGCTTATGTTTAAGGATCAATTATTTAATTATGCAGTCTCTAAATGAAATTCTACATTTATTCTAAATTTAGGTTTGATAAAATATAAAATTTGATTTTTATTTTAAGTAGAAAGCATAAATTCTCACTTCATATCAACGTAATTTAGAGGAATCACCTTAATATATTCTACATATAATTTTGGTTTTCGTAGAATTCCCCATGTTAATGGATTTTTTGGATCTCTGTGATGTTTCCAAGAGAATGTTACTGACTTAATATCTCCTAAAATATTCGATGTGGTAAATAAATATTTGTAAGTACTANATCGGAATTGATGAGTCTGTTTGTGGAGGATGAAACCGGCCCTCAATGTAATCTTACTCATTTCTTTCCATTGGCTTTTAGACTCTGTACATCAATTTAATTATACTTAAATATTATACTATATATAATTAATTGAAATTACATAACTTACAGCAAAATGGCGATTTTCCAGTAGTTTTTAAAAAAGTCTTCAATTGGAAATCATCTCTTTTATGTGGATAAAATTCGTATGCTCGAATACCCATAATACCACATTTGCTTCCGTCTGGAGCACAGTCTGTGCATTTTCCTTCTAAGAATGTTTCCCAATCTTTACAGCCAATTCCAACTGGGAGACAACCTCTACGATTAGTAGTTGCTATAAAGAAATCTATAGCTCTTTGATGGTTACAACTGATAAATCTTCGTGAACCTGGTTAATCATAAATTAAAGAATTCTTAAAAATGAAATATTTATTTTGAAAAGTTTGGAATAATGATAATATGAATATTATATACCTTCAACGAGACCGGATACAATGAATGCAGTAAATTTACTAGATTTACAACCTGGTTGATTTCTTCCATTGTTTGGATAGAAATCAATGTGGCCTACTTGTTGTTCCATTCCAAAACCTGAAAAATATTGTAATATATATGAATACGTATTTATGTCATTATTTAACAATATAAAATTGAAGTAATTTACCTAAAAGTAATATTGTTTTGGCATCTGAATGTATAACATCTACAAAATCACCATCAGTTGGATCGAGTCTTACAGTTGTAGGCATATTTTGGAAATAAGGTTCAGCAGGATCCAATCCTAAAATAATAATTAAAAATAACATTATAATGTAATAATTTGATCTATGCTTATATCAGCTTTAGTTCAAAGTAAATATAAAAATTTTTAAAAATATATTAAATTTACCAGTAATTCTTCCTACTGTAAGGTTATATTTCTGAACTCCTGCTCCTCCGTAAGATGCTATGTGAGCTCCTAAACTGTGTCCAATGATATGGACTTTCATAGTCGATAACCCACATAAATCCTAAAATATGCGATTTTTCTTCTTAGTTAAGTGCAGTTTTAATATGACTTAAAACATTTTCCTTACCGTTAAAGTTTTGAGAAGAAATGCTATTTCTGCTCCTACAACTCTAGTATTAGCGGTAGCTTGAGTATATGGAGGTTTATTTCCTCCACTCCAGTCTACAATTATACAATTAATGTCTTCGTTTAACAGTAGTTCGTCTTTTAATTCCTATTTTTAAAATGTTAATAAAATAAGAATCTCATTTAAAATATATTATAATTAATGCAAACTTAAAGGGTATATTTAAAATTATTTTTCTTATAAATTTTAAATATTTATAACAGTATCTAATAAGAAAATTTTGCTATTTAAAATAAATTTTAGAGAAATTAAATGTAATTTTACTTGCTCTATTCTTGTTTTCTACAGCATCTCTTTAATAATAGCGCGATGTTTTTTGTCTCGTGACTTTTAATATAATTAGAAATCATTTCACGAATTTACAATAAACTTCGGACATTTAAAAACATTTTAAAGCATTTTAATTGTCATTTATCTACATTTCATACAAAATATTAAAGATAAGAAACGAAAATCGCACTAACGTAAGATTTATTGTAATTTTATCATTGTTCTAGAGCAGTGGTTCCCAATTAGTTTTTCATGCGTACCACTTCAAGAAAGAGCTCAAACTCGCGTACCCCTTATAGCAGAAATTCATATTAATATTCCATACTAACATTATAAATTCGAAGATAATTCTGTCTGTCTGTCTCTTGCCTTTTCACGTCTAAACCGCTGAACAGATTTTAATATAATTTGGCACAGAGATAGCTTATATGTTGGAGATGGACATAGGCTACATTTTACTGCGAGAAAATATTAGGTTGCAGTCAAATGAAAACGAGACAGATGGGAAAAAAGTAAGTAAACTGTTTATTATTTCAAAAGTAATTGTCATAATGTTAATACATTTATCCCACTGTGAGACAAGACAGTCAATGCCTTCATACAAAAATGTTTGCGGTTACCTAAGGAACCATGATTGTACTCAGGCAAGCACCTTTTCGTCCGAAGCAAATTGACGGCTATGAATGTCTTTCTTCGGTGCTCCAAAAATATGGAAATCGCATGGGGAGAAATCGGGACTGTATGGAGGATGTGTATGGACTACGCTGCAGAAGTTCCCAGCGAAACTTCTGTAGCGTGGTCAAAACAACCTTGGTAGCATGTGGGTGGGCATTACCCTGCAACAGAATGATGCTGTCTGTCAACATTCCTGGGTGTTTGAATTTGATGGCACCCTTCAATTTTTGCAAAGTTTCTATGTACCGCTGTGCGTTAATTGTGGCGGCGTGTTCCAGAAAGTCAACAAGCAGCGGACCTCCATAGTGATGTTGGACACAAAAACGACTCACTGACCTCACTTCAAGCACGTCTAACAGACAAATGGCACAGCGGTGAACGTTTACGCTGTTCCCACCTTATTCCCAATAGAGGGCATTTCTATATACACACCTACTTGCCACACTTGTTATATAGTCTGTCTCGTTTTCATTTGACTGCCCCTAATATCTTACTCCCACGAGAAAATAATGCGGTAATAATAATAATAAATGCATTTTTGATGAAATTTCGAGAATATTTTTAGTTATAAATAAAGGAATTTGTGCATTCGACATCATGTTGTAAATTGCCGAATTTTTGATGGTCCACCCATTATTTTTTTGATTGCTTCATCTCATGCATTTAAATTTTAAATCGACCGATTTTAGATAGTCGCGCGTACCCCTTCATGCAATTTCGCGTACTCTCAGGCGTACGCGTACCACTAATTGGGAGCCATGGTAATCTAGACTTTGCACTTTTACTATTCTCTGAAAGAAATGAGAAACAGTCAAATTGAATGGCGTTTAGTTTTCGAAATCGCTTTCATTTTCAAAGTTTTATCTAATAATGATCATATGGATAAAACCACTAAACACTGATAGTTTGTTGTGAGTTCACACCCAACCAAAGGATTGTCCATGTGGAATTTCCTGAACTTTTTTCTCAAACAGGAGCAAGTTTCCTATAGAAAGTGCTCCTAACAAACATACTCTTCGGCAGATCGCTTATGTATTGTGCTTCTTTCTCCCATCAATTTAATCTAATCAAATTTCCTAGTTTTTAAGTGATGTACAATGCATTTTTCATAAGAGCAGATGGAAATACAAACAAGTGTGTAATTTTTTTTAAACTTGTTTCAATAATTATGGATAAAGAAATATCCAATGGTATAAGATACGTAGTAGTCTACTATTGTACTGTACAGTAGTGCCTCGGTACGCGAACAATCCGGTATTCGAATGCATATTCGAGGAATAAAAATCGCTCGGTAGTCGATTGTTTTGTTCTGCCGAGTGCCGAACAAACACGATCTACTAGAACAAATGTTTTTATTTTAAGTTTAATTTTGTCATCCATAACAAATTTTCTATGATAAAAATGAGTAACCATTTAAAAATAAAATGAAACTCTAGAGTTGCCTATCATCGTCAGACAAAGTTATTGCTAAAATTAATAGACGTGTTTTGCCACTCTGTATTAGATAAGTATATTCCCAACAAAGAAAATCTGTTAGTCTTCTCGTAGCGCTCGCTCAGTGCATAACTTCGCTAAACTTTCCTGTAAACTTTCTCATTTCTTGTTTTATTATGATATGCACGCTACTAGACTTATAAACTTTGTTAAACTTGTGCGAAATTCTAGTTAAAATATAATTAATTCGTTAAATATGCTTTAATTCATCGCTATTTGCAACGGAAGCCTATTGAATCTAATGACGGGAATGACCAGTCAGATACTGGATGGTAATGTACTGTGCAATACATACTACGATACTAGTGACGGACACTCATGTCAGACGAGTGTCACGTGTTGCAAAGGGGTAAATTAACCTCCCATCAGCTATAACGTGTTGTAAAAAATCATGGAGCGTTGGCTGAGAGAAGGATTTTGAAGAAAAATGTAGCAAGTACTGTACTCCAAATGTTTCTAGTGATAAGAAGACTGAGAAAGATGATACAAGCGAAGATATAAAACGAGCACTAGCGTTATTTAAAACATTGAAAGAAAATAGTTTAACTGTTCACATTTTAATGACCAGTTTGAATTAAATTTGATTTCCATTATTAATCTTTTTTTTGCATTTTAAATAAATTGTTTTGGTGTTTATATTTGCTGTTTTATCTATAATCATTAAAAATTGTTAGGGTTCCAACATTTTTTACTAAGATAAAAAGGAAAAAATTAATTGGAACCGCTGAGCTAGATTATGAGAAATGTTGCATGACATATCTGAGACAGAACAGAGTGGGTCAAGCTGTTGAAGTATCAGACAGGTGGAAACTCAGAAAAATCCATACGGTCGGCTTATTGGTTCGGTGCGTACCAGTGACCAACTACCAGTATTTAGTGGTTGGAAGGAGCCTGGCATATTCAGGACAAACCGCGATAAAAAAAAATAATAAAATCCATGGTTACTCGCTTAAATTTTATCCTAGATTGTCCAGAAGGATACGCTGACATCTTAATCTCGGCCATCGAATGCAGCCTAATAGTAAGAAATGAACTATGACACATTTGGATTCTTTTTAACTTTTTACGCCCTATGGGTACTTTAAAAGATGACCTTTTTAAATCATATCAATCCTGGGTTCGGCTACATCCGTGGACATAGCCGAACTCAGTAGTGGTGAGGGACGGGGCCCGACATATCCGAGACGAACCTTCAAAAAATTTCTGGAGTTTTCGACTCCTCTAGATTTACTCCCAATCCTCAAAACGGTGTCTGTCATCTTAATCGCTCGACCAACCGGTAGTGAACTAATTTAGGCTGTCACTCATAAAATTTTTTTACTAATTCGTGCTTGAACCTGGATTCCCCAAAAGTTATCTTTTCGGATTCGGTCTTCCATCTATCTTCATTAACAGTTATCAATTTAGTTTTCAGATTGTTTTAAAATAAATTTTTTAAATATTATTTATTATTTTTTATTATAGATTTTTCTTTTATTAGAGAAATTTAGTTTGTCTATTTTGATTTCTGACTTAAATTATTGTTTAATTTTAAATAAATTATTACTCATAAAACCAATATCATAAATGACTTACTTCTTGCCATTTTCCGAACAATTCTGTGTCCATAAATCCATGTGTAATTAATCTTGTAGGCTTATTGACATCGAGTGGCGAATCTTCAGAACATAGAGAACTTTTGTCATCTGTACTTAAAATATATGGCTCTCTAGGATTTTTGTTTGTATAAAGTTTAAAACGCGTGTTTATAGTTTCTCGTGGCTGAGGTAACATATCAATAGGACGATATAAAGGATGAAAAAAGTCTCCTTTTCTTTCGAAGCATCCCAAATCTTTCATACAAATCTTGTCAGCTAAAATTATTAAAACATAAAGATTAAATGTAAAATATTTTGTTTTTCATTAAAAATAAATTTTCAATACTTGGCATTTTAGAATACCTTTAGCATTTACATCTTGAAGAAAAAGAAGGATTAGAAATCCCGATAAAAGTACCGAAAAAACAGAAAGCTGTTTCATCTTCATCTTTCTATAATTTGCAATTAATTTAGTAATTGGCTCAGGCTTTATAATATTGCAACTTTCGATAATTTTTTTTATTATATTTTAACACACTATCTTAAAGGTGAAGGTGACCTTCTACGTTATGAATTTATCTAATCATCAGCTGTTTAGACACCTTATGAACATTTGCAGATGATACAATATTTTATATAATTTAATTGTAATCCTATCATTTGTTTTTTATCATTATTTTTATGAGAAAATGCAAATATTAAAATTTCCGCTATTACATACTATTTAAACATTATTACCGTGAATAATCAAATTTATTGATAGAGGAATATTTTCCTGTAAACACATCTGTCCGAGTTGTTTTTAAATAATAATGTTTGTTATTTTCAATTTTGACTTTATCATATTTAGTATTGATTATCTTTTTACTATTTATTTCTTTTTGTCTGTTTCCACCTTTTTAATATACTAGTGCTGTAATAAATTTTAGTACATAATATATCATAAATTGAAAATGAGTACTGAGAAGGCCTTTTTTTAATGTCCACAGTGGGTTCAACTAGGCTCCATTTTTTACCATCAGTTTGGCCATGAAGGACAAGGCCCGGCGTATTCGAACAGACCCGCACACGGCTGAGGCTTTAACTTCTTCAGTCATATGGCCATCCAATATTTATATTTAAAAAAAATGTATTTTGCAGTTAGATGTAATTTTAATAAGTAATTTATTATGCAAAACAAATTCAACAAAAAGTAATTAAACTTAAAAATCATTAAGTCTAATTTCAATCATCAAGCCTGTTTCAAAACGTATTTAAGAAAAATCGATTATATAATAATTTCCTAATTGTAATTAAATTAAATTTATTTATGTAAGATTTAATAAAATTTAAGTGCAATATTAATATAAAATATAACGTGTTTTATCACTTAAAGTAAAGAAATTTCAAAATCCATTTAAAAGAGATGGCAACACCGAAGAGAAAAAATGGCGGAAAATGGCCGGAGTATTTTGAAAATGATTTTTACAAATTTTATTCGTTCTTTACGTCCGAAAAATGTTCTTAGTCAAGGAAAAATAGCTGGAAAAGATCAGTTTGGTAATACGTATTACGAAATACCTGCTGGTAAGCATTTCGTCGCTTGAATTCTGTTTTAATAAAATAAAGGTAAAAGTTATTTTAGTCACGTGTGCATGTACTGTACCGGGCCCTGTACCGACACAGCACCTAAACAATACCGGGCTGCAATTTTTAATTTATTTAATTTAAAATATATGCTCTCCACCTCAAATTAGTAGTGTATTGCCCTGTACATCATACTTTCCTTTAACAATATAGAGTCGTGTAGGTCATATAGAGTTGAATTGAAATAACGTCACTTCCGGTTTGTATCGGAAGTTCTTATATAGTTAATCGGAGCTTCCTACCCCTAAGGTTTCCAAATCCGGTTTCAGATTTCATCTAACTCCGTTCTTGGGATTAACGAAGGACTGACTGACGACATGGAAATTTATAAGAATAATTTTTTCCAATTTCAGCCCAATTAATTCGTTTATTATGAGAAAAATTAAGAATATTTATATGAAATCTTGATAAAGCACAAATTATTTCACACCAATTGTAATGAAGCTTTTACCATCTAATTTTGTTTCTATGTATCAGATAAGGTGATTTAATTTTCACTAGTAAAAGTATGAAAGAAAGATTAGAACTGTTTTTAAATTGACTGCCTTATTATCAATGGATGTTCTATTTTTTTTTAAATGTGTTTTCTTTATGTTTTTGGGGTTCTTATATCTTTGTCATTCATTAGCCTTTGAAATGTTATATCTCTTCAGAAATTTTGTAAGAACTTTGTAGATATCTAATGTATGATATGTATATACAGTGCATTTTTCCTCATTAATCTGAAATTTTTAAACTACTTTTACAAAGTTAACAAAAAATTTTATCCAATATTCAACTGGAATAACTGGTTAATGAGTTGGTTAGAAGGCTGAGATAGTGAAGGTGTCAGTTTGCCACTGTGGACCCAGGCAAGCAACCCCAGGAACTTTTTGTGGGTTCATCCTTCATCATCCAGCTGCCTGCATAATAGACCTAAAAAAAGACACACTTACCCCCTGTATTTACCAACACAAGACATTTCCCATGTCTTTCTATTGGACTACACTGTAATTTGCAGAATGTAGTATATATTATAGTTCTTCACAATATTGCACTACATATACATAAGTGTATCATTATTTCATGATGATGATGATGATGATGATGATGATGATGATGATGCTCATTTTTTAACTTCAGATGTGTCTGTACAAATATTTAAATATCAGAAATGTTCAAGGTTTTGCTAAAAAAAAAATGCAATAATTCAGAATTTTTTGTTTAACGTTAAAATAAAAATTTCATATATTTTTAAATAAAATTTTGTTGTATTCTTATTACTGTAGTACCTCAGGATACAAAATTAATCCGTTCTGAAACTGAGATCGTATCATGAAAATGTCGTAAGATGAATCATTTTTCCCCATGTGATTACATGTAAAACCAAATAATCCGTTCCAACATGAAAAACACACTCAAACTAAAGCTAAGTAGTACATTGAAAAAAAATAACTTTAGTAAGGAAAACACTGAAAAATGCATTTTGTAGTTGTAAATGTATAAATAACCATAATATAATAATAATTGATTTAAAAAAATGTAGTTTTATTTGCACTTTACCTTTGAGGATAGATGACGGTGGAGGTGTAAACTGGTGGTGGAGGATTGGGAGAAGGGAAATGATACTAAAACTTAACTTACATAACATAATGTAACAATAACTTAAAAATAACTTAACACTATTTTTTAACTTTTCTGTTTTATATATTTTTTATTCACTGCTTTTTGCTTTCTTTCCTTCACTTCCACCAGCACTTTCACTGGATAGAGGTCACTTGGTAAAATATCTATCCAAAGAGGTTTGGCTTTGCCTACTTTTTAAAATGTTTCTAAAATGACTTAGGCAAATGTCATTACTCCGAGCAGCAATACGGCCAGTGTGAACCTTTTCGGGATGTTTCTTTTCAATAAAATCAGTCACTTTCTGATAATGCCTCAAGATTTCCTTTATCGAGTGAGATCCTTCCACGACAAAGCAAACACATGGACTGAGACCAATGAACAGAAGTGAATAAAAAATGTCACTGCAAACTAATGTAACATTGTACGGTGAGTTTTTGTTCGTATCGTGGAGCAAAAATATGTTCGAATTTCATGTCGTATCCTGAAAATTTCGTATGGTGGAGCATTCTTATCTTGAGGTACTACTGTACTGTATTATTGTTCTAAAAAGAAAGAATATATACAGGACATAAATACTTTATAGAAAATTTTATTTTAAAAAATTTATTATTTAAAATTTTATTAATAAATAAAAGCACCTTTCACGCTATATATATATATTTTGCTCAAAAGTAAAGATCACAAATTTGTTAGTTGAGATGTCAAACTAGAAAAATTTTCTTCTAAACTTTGTAAAATTTTGTCCTGCACTTAAAATTGTTTCTCCATTAATATCCATTAATAGCATTTTCGTGTTATACTCTTTTGTCATAAATTTCATTTTTATATGTTGTTGTTCAAGATTTTCTTTCTTCCTTTTCGATTTTTCATAAATGGCTGAAGTTGCTTCAGCTGATTTTGTTTTCTTATTATTAATAGTTTGACTACTTTTGCATCCTTTGTAGTGGAACTCAGATTGAAAGGTAATTATTTCATTTTAAACTAGTAGTAGTACTCATATTATTAAGGTAATTATTTCATTTTAAACTAAAACAGAATTTTTATGGAATNCTGCATAATAGACCTAAAAAAAGACACACTTACCCCCTGTATTTACCAACACAAGACATTTCCCATGTCTTTCTATTGGACTACACTGTAATTTGTAGAATGTAGTATATATTATAGTTCTTCACAATATTGCACTACATATACATAAGTGTATCATTATTTCATGATGATGATGATGATGATGATGATGATGATGATGATGCTCATTTTTTAACTTCAGATGTGTCTGTACAAATATTTAAATATCAGAAATGTTCAAGGTTTTGCTAAAAAAAAAATGCAATAATTCAGAATTTTTTGTTTAACGTTAAAATAAAAATTTCATATATTTTTAAATAAAATTTTGTTGTATTCTTATTACTGTAGTACCTCAGGATACAAAATTAATCCGTTCTGAAACTGAGATCGTATCATGAAAATGTCGTAAGATGAATCATTTTTCCCCATGTGATTACATGTAAAACCAAATAATCCGTTCCAACATGAAAAACACACTCAAACTAAAGCTAAGTAGTACATTGAAAAAAAATAACTTTAGTAAGGAAAACACTGAAAAATGCATTTTGTAGTTGTAAATGTATAAATAACCATAATATAATAATAATTGATTTAAAAAAATGTAGTTTTATTTGCACTTTACCTTTGAGGATAGATGACGGTGGAGGTGTAAACTGGTGGTGGAGGATTGGGAGAAGGGAAATGATACTAAAACTTAACTTACATAACATAATGTAACAATAACTTAAAAATAACTTAACACTATTTTTTAACTTTTCTGTTTTATATATTTTTTATTCACTGCTTTTTGCTTTCTTTCCTTCACTTCCACCAGCACTTTCACTGGATAGAGGTCACTTGGTAAAATATCTATCCAAAGAGGTTTGGCTTTGCCTACTTTTTAAAATGTTTCTAAAATGACTTAGGCAAATGTCATTACTCCGAGCAGCAATACGGCCAGTGTGAACCTTTTCGGGATGTTTCTTTTCAATAAAATCAGTCACTTTCTGATAATGCCTCAAGATTTCCTTTATCGAGTGAGATCCTTCCACGACAAAGCAAACACATGGACTGAGACCAATGAACAGAAGTGAATAAAAAATGTCACTGCAAACTAATGTAACATTGTATGGTGAGTTTTTGTTCGTATCGTGGAGCAAAAATATGTTCGAATTTCATGTCGTATCCTGAAAATTTCGTATGCTGGAGCATTCTTATCTTGAGGTACTACTGTACTGTATTATTGTTCTAAAAAGAAAGAATATATACAGGACACAAATACTTTATAGAAAATTTTATTTTAAAAAATTTATTATTTAAAATTTTATTAATAAATAAAAGCACCTTTCACGCTATATATATATATTTTGCTCAAAAGTAAAGATCACAAATTTGTTAGTTGAGATGTCAAACTAGAAAAATTTTCTTCTAAACTTTGTAAAATTTTGTCCTGCACTTAAAATTGTTTCTCCATTAATATCCATTAATAGCATTTTCGTGTTATACTCTTTTGTCATAAATTTCATTTTTATATGTTGTTGTTCAAGATTTTCTTTCTTCCTTTTCGATTTTTCATAAATGGCTGAAGTTGCTTCAGCTGATTTTGTTTTCTTATTATTAATAGTTTGACTACTTTTGCATCCTTTGTAGTGGAACTCAGATTGAAAGGTAATTATTTCATTTTAAACTAAAACAGAATTTTTATGGAATATAATTATTTTTAAGAATTACCTGCTGATTATCAATATTTTGAAGTTCTTCAATATAAAATTCTACAGAGATTTCATTCACATCTGTAGGCATTATATTAGTGATATTTGGTATAGCTGAAACCTGCAAGATAAGAAAATTGCATTATTTGAAAATAAATAAGATATGTGAACTTGGCATTACAACTATATTATTAACTATTAATATTAATATTAGTTCTTTTGAAACTTGTAAGACATTCATAACTGAAAATTATCTAGACGTTTGATTTTTGATATACGAATGAACTGTTAAATGAAAGAATATGTAAGTTATAATAATATTTCAAATCATTAAGATGTACATAATTTGAATAGTACATACAGTATAAACTTTCATACAATTCATATATTAAATATTATAGTTTTACATTTAAATTACATGATATAGTTTAAATTATAGATATAATTTATACATGTAAAATGTATGTATATTCTCACTGTGTATTGTATAATGAAGTATAGACTTTGTAAAGGAAGTATTTTTCTATTAATATACTATAAATGTTTGCACAATTGTCATTTAAATATAAAGTAATTTATTGATAACTAAATAAACATTGACTTACTTCAGATGCAGATACATCAAATATATCTTTAACACTTGTTAGTACAGAAGATATATCTGATAGGAAGTGATCCATAGAACATGTTCAAGATTTTAATAGCAGAGATAATAGCTATCTCTGCTATTAAAATATGTTACTAATTAATTCAAAATTAAAAAACAAATTATAAATTATAATGCCTTAATACTTACTTGTTTTATGTTGGGCATCACTCAAAGTTGTTTTCTGGAGTCTGAGTTAGGACACCCATGGAAAACAGTTTTTCAACCATTACATCTGTAGGGTTTTCTGCTTCTGTTTTAAATAATTCAGTTTTCTGTGCCTGTTCTTTTACAGCATTTTTCTTTAAGTTTTTATAGCAGTCCCATAACTGCTTACTTTTTTGGAGCATACACCCAGGATATTGTAATCTTTGCTTAGTAATTCCCAGGTATCTCTCTTCTGTTTAGAACATTTTGTAGAAAGCACATTTGTTTTCTCATTCTCTATTACACACTTATATTTTTCTACTAACTCAAGCAGTATTTCCTTCTCGAAATTAGTAGAATGATGGCATGCATTACTCTCCATTTGTTCTTCTGCCATTTTCTATACATGTTTGCTTTCAACCAATTAATATGCTGCTTACGAAAGAAGACTTACTTAATCTTAAATGCCTTGTAGAGTAAGTGGCTTGGATTAGTGAATATAATGTATTTATTGAATGTTATTTCTGTGTCAAAAATGCAATTTGCTTCTGTAATATTTTTCAGATTTTCTGATAGTTGTGTTTTAAACGACAGTTTTATATCTGAAATTGTTATCTCCTGTAGACTAATGAATTCAGTAGACTAATGAATAACTTAATGCTGTATGGGAAATTTATTAGCTGTTACCAGTACAAGTAATAGTATGTCTAGAAGTATTTTATACTTAGCTTAACTCTATTTAAACAATAGCATGTTTATTAAAAGCATATTATTATTATTTGCTATAGTCATAATATTATTGTATTTGTAAAATTTATATTTATTTTTCTCACATTAGATTTACTTTATATTAGACCCAAGTCGAGGAAAAAGAGTACCAAAGAGATGGTATAAACCAGAAATAGATGATGACTGGGAAAAAGAAATTCCAGTTGAGTGGGAAGGTAAGAATATTTTTTAATTTAATTATTTAATGTTTTTATTTTTTTAATGTGCTTTACATAATGATTGAGAATTAAGAAGTGTGTGTGTGTATTCATCAAGCATTGGTTTATAAGTTTTTATTTGTTGTCCGTTATAAGACGTCCGTATGTCACCAATTCCTTTTTTGGAAAATCTTTGTATTTGTATTTTTAATTGGAAATTTTTGTGTACTTTTAAAGGACTTTTTAGCATTTTGGTGGCTAGTAGCCTAAAAAGGAAGGTCAGTCACCAAGATTGTACAGTCTGGAACAAAAAATTAATAAATGATGGTCTCTATTTGGGCAGACTTTGTCTTAAAATACTTAACTACAATAAGAGCCACACGACAAAAAAAAACTATGAAATAATAATTATATTAATACAGTTAGAATAAACTCTAGCAATAGATAACAATGACACTGCAGCATTGACTAGTGCATGGATTAAATAGTTAAATAATTAAAGAAAGTTGACTAAGTTTTTATCTAAGAAGATTGAAAAAAAAAACTAAAAGATAAAAAATATTAAGAACAGTAAACAATTTTCTTAGCTGAAGTTTATCATAATTATTAGCTTAATGCTAAGTTTTAATATCTTTATTTGACTTTAAAATCTTTTGTAATTAAGCCATCAGTAGGTATGAAAGAGATTGTATGGAATAAATTAAAATTCTGATTATCTGTACTAATATTAAGGTAGCAGTCACATCAATCTTTAGCTATTATGCTATCTAGGCTTCTCAAGCAGAATGTTTGTGTCATTTTTCAACACATGACTCATTTGATTTATTCTGCTTCTGTTATTCTTTCCTCCTTTCAAAATGAGTTACTTTAATGCTTCTCTTCAATCATGCAAAAGAAAATTACCTCCACCAACGTACCAATGTCTGATGTGAAGAATGTCAGAGTACTATTTAAAAATGAAACTATTTAAGATCACAAAGAAAGTCTTTGAAATGAAATAATCATAATCTGTTGTACTGGGTGTTTTCAAGAATAGTAAGGAGTAGGAAATTTTTGTCCATTGTTTGTAGAAGGCAGTGATTGCTTTATCAGGATAAAAAACATTAATAGTCCTATTGTGACCGGAGTGTTGGCCCCTCTTGGTTCTCTGTCAGGTCTGACACCACTGTGACCTCTGTCAGGTTGATTTGGCCTCTTAGGCCTTGCACAAGCGGACGCATGCGTGGTTGATTGCGCGGATGGAGTGAGAGACAGTGACCCGGAAATGACTCATGCATAGACTAAATTAACCTATCAACAGTTTAATGGGTAATGATAGACTATACTTCTTTTACACTAAGTTGATGAGTTTGACAAAAGGGGTGTAATAAGCGTTCAAGAGAGAGAGTTTACAATTTTTGCGTGGTGATAATTATCTTGAGATCGGTTGAGTCGTTATGAGGTCTTGCTTCAAATGTTCCGAGTTGGCGACATCGATAATAAGAGGCACTTAGTAAGTCAGGTTGCTGATGAAGTAATCCAAAGGTTAAGCACTTAATATGTTTTTTTGGTCGATGAAATAAATCCAAAGAGTTGGCACTGTGCGAATGTGATGAGTTGGAACGAAAATCATTTCTGAGGGTCAGGTGATGATGGTAATACGTTGGAGGAATGGCAGCGACTGGTACGAAAATTGATCTGTTGTTACATTCATTTGACAAACTTGTAACTTTAGGTTGGAAGGTTATGTGAAAGTGTCTTTTTAGCATCTGAGAATGTGTTGAATGATTAACTGCCAGGTGTGAAATATGATATTTGAACAGTAAAACGATTGTTAAGGAAATAAGTTAGGCTGTATTTAAGTAAATAAACAAGGCTGAGTCTCACACTATTATTATGCTGGGAATAGATATTTTGTCTGCTAAATACAGGTACAGTATTTACTGAACAATCCAGGTTTTATCATATTTGGAAATCTCAAGTTCTTTGGTAAATGTAAATCATTTTAATCGAACATCCTTAATCAGTGGAGTGAATTTCAAAGTTAAAACACACACACACACACACACACATACACACACATATATATATATATATATATATATATATAGCCTTCTTAAAATACCAATGTATTTT